TTAAAAATCCTGAGTAGATAAAATAATTCAGAATTCATCTTTTCTTCAACAGTCATTCTTTTTTGTTGCAAGTGAATAAAATGGTACTTTTTTTTTTTATTCATTTAAATCTGATCCAATAAAAATGTAATGTTCTTGGTAGCAAGAACAGTAGATTGCTTAACTGGTTTTTAATTTAATTCTGCACCCCAATAAAAGTATAAGTACACATAAATAAAACCATAGGCTGATGATGAAAAACAAAAGCATTTCTTTCCGAATTTCTGATAAGAGGACTTACCATTATTTATATTCTGACTATTTTATTTTACTAATGTTCACCCAATACAATGCACAAGAGCCACTCAAGGTAGAGGGTTATTATGTGGTGGTGTATGAGAATTTCTTGGGGCCATCCATAAAGATAACAGCTATAAATATAATGTAGGAGACTTTAAGTGAAGAAACCGGAAACCCAATCCTAAAGAGGAAACACGGGATAAACCTCTACTCCTGTCCAAAAGACCGAGGAGGGTGTGAACCGGACGATCGGCGAATCTATTTACTCCTAGAGAGGAAAAAATAATTAGTGAATAAAATGTCAGAGTTCAGGCGAAGACGACAGAAGTATATTGAAGTAGACTTTAGAAGGAACCGGAAGCCCAATCCTAAACATGAAATAAGGGAGAAACCTCTACTCCTGTTCAAAAAAACTGTGGAGGTGTGTGAACTCCGATGAGAAAATTTTGTTCCTGAGCAGATGTTATTTACAGTTTCTGAGAGAGAGAGAGAGAGAGAGAGAGAGATAATCTAACGTAATCACCAGTTTCTACAGGCTAGTATTCTTAAACCCTCTGTCAAGATGACTTGTGTCTTCGTGCTAGCTCAAGCATCGACGGCCTACAAACAGATTGCCTGTCGCCTATGACTGTTGACTTCAATTTATATATATATATATATATATATATATATATATAAAGAAAGAACAGTAAGATGTATAATCCGGTGTTCTTATAGATATTTTTATTTTTACAAAATAGTGCTCAATATAAATTTACAGAGCATTAATATTATGAATTAATTGATTTAAAATATGTTTTTTTTTCCGCTACACAGTTCTAACCATGTTTCAAAAATAGAAGCTAAAAGCCCCGAATTTAATTTTGCAATCAAATTAAAAGCATTAGTTCCATTTCATCCTCAAGCGAATTTTGGAGTAACTTTTAAAAATTACTGGATTTTAAAGACACAACTAAAATCACGTTTCCATGGTTACAGAATATTCTACTTCAAACATCCCTTGTATAATTGAATTAGAATATTCTGTAAACGTGATTTTACCTGTGTCTTTAAAACCCAGTAATACAGAGTAGAGCAAATAATATTTATTCAAAAGTATAACATATGCATGTTATAACAACACTACAAAAACTGCAATTTTGTTTCAACACTACTGATGTTTTATTAAGTGGTGGTGTTGGTTGCAAAATAAAGAGTTTTAAGAGTTCACAAACCAACCAAACCTCCTCAGTAGGGGAAAGATTGTTACGTAATTTATGATGACCAATCAGAATACAAGTATATGGTAATTCAAAATAACGTGACAATATATACTCTATGTACAATCTATTAGTGCATGAAAGTTAAGATTAGGTTAAATTAGAAATCAGTATAACAAATAAAATTTTAATTTCAGAGTTAAATTTAAAATTAAAAATTAAAAATTTAACCGAGCATCATGTTTAATATTATTACAAAATTATTCAAAAAAGAAACTATGAGGAAAAAAAATATTTATTGTTCTTGCCACATCTCACCTGGGAGAGAGAGAGAGGCGGAATATAATCTGTCACTCACAAGCATTCGGAGACGATTTTGGACTCTGTAGAGGCTGGAGAGTGCGGTCTGGGCAGCTCACACCCAAATATGACAATAGTATTCCATTTTTGGCCTAATCTGGCTCTAGTCAAGATATAGGATAACACGTGGAGTTAAGTACTTACTAGCGCGGTACAGGGAGTCGACAATTTACATCTTTAGCGATGTCATGTTTGTACATGTTCCACTTGATGTCAACTTGATGTCAATTTATCAGGTAAGTTCGACGCTGATGTAAGGTGTAAAAACGATCGCAACACATACTTGATTTCATCGAAATCTGAATTCAAATAACGAGATAGATAGGGAAGTTAATTTTCAAATGACAAGACAAACACATTCGATTAAATATGTTTTCGTTTTATATATATATATATATATATATATATATATGTATGTGTGTGTGTGTGTGTGTGTGTATCTCCTTATTTCACCTTTCTTAACAGAATTGCTACTCTCCCAAACAAACGTACACAACAATATCGTAAAATCAAAAGAAAATGGTTGAATCCATCAACACAGCAATAATAACAATATCTCCACACATGGCAGTAATTGACGTAATTTTCAGTTAACAGTATGAAAATAGCGTTCTCTAAATTCTTCCAGTTCCTAAAGACATGTTGTTTTTGTTATTATTAGTTTGTTTAAATAAATTCATTTCGTTTTTTTTTGCCTTAAGAAAGTCCACATTGGACGAAACGCGTCATATTACAGTTTTCCTATTACATATATATATATATATATATATATATATATATATATATATATATATATATATCATCATTTATAACATATATATATATATATCAGTCAATTTATAACACATATATATATATATATATCAGTCAATTTATAACACAAAAATATATATATATATATCAGTCAATTTATAACATATATATATATATCAGTCAATTTATAACATATATATATATATATCAGTCAATTTATAACATATATATATATATATATATATATATATATATATCAGTCAATTTATAACATATATATATATATATATACATATATATATATATATATATGTTATAAATTAACTGATTTAAAAATATGGTTTGTTCGCTAGACAACGATGTGTAGCGATGAAACCACAATTTTATTATAATATTTATGCTCTGTAAATTTACATCGTGTACTGTTTTGTAAAAATAAAAATATCAATAAGAACATCGGATTACATATCTTACTGATCTTCTTTTTACTATATATATATATATATATATATATATATATATATATATATATATATATATATATATGAAATCATATTTACTTACGTTCCAGACGAACAGCTTCCCTCGAACCAATACTTCAAGTTGATGTTTCTCCAATCTTTACAAACTTAACCTGTTCAAGCCTAGGGTTAACCATTATCTTCCCCACATATCCTCATAAACTCTGCCTATTATTCTGTAACACTCTACCTCGAGTGGGTCTTGGGCCTTGTACGGGATATATATATATATATATGACATTAAGATTCGTAAACACTAGTGCGTTTGGCAAGATAGCTTTTTACAACGAAAATGGATTATTTTCATCTACTTTCCAATTTTACAACCACTTTACAATTATTTCCTTTCTGTTCGCCTCTGCTCGGGCCCACCCCTTTACACATACCCTCACCCTTTCTCCCACTAACAATTCCCTCCGACTCAACACATACACACACAAACACATACACCTCCTATTGAGGATATGTTGCAAATCACAGAACTAAAAATGCTTTTATAAAATTTCTGCCAATGTAATCCTGTGAATGTTTTAACTCCTTCTCTTTCTCCTCCTTCCGCCCTCCTGCCACTTTCCCCAAATATCTTACTTCGATGTTACGACACCCCGCCACCTCACCAACGCTAAACATTTGGTGGAGTCTGACACATCCATTATTTCGATTCTTCGCCATTTGTCCATTCTACTTGTATTTTTTTTTTTTTTTTTTTGTCATTTCGGAAAATCGCTTTGGAGACAAAAAGGAATGGAAGAATAAGATGGCGACAGAGAAAAACGGAAGCGAATAATAATAAAAATGGATAGAAAAAGAAAGAAAATGAAGGAAAGAGAAGTGATGTGTCGTCAATGAAGATGTAATTGAAATAAAAAGAGAAAAAGGAAGAAAGAAAAGACACAGGTTTTAAAGAGGAAGAGAGTACTTAAAACAAGAAAGAGAGAGAGAGGAAACAGGTTTTAAAGAGGAAGAGGTTAATTAAAACAAGAAAGAGAAAAAGAATGAGAGAGGGGAAACAGGTTTGAAAGACGAAGAGGTTACTTAAAACAAGAAAGAGAAAAAGAATAAATAAAAGGGAAGAAGAAGCGGATAAAGTAGAATTTAAATAGAAAGGCTGAAAGAATGAGTGTCAGAGAAGAGAGACGCATGAGAAAGTATTTAAAACGGAGAGAGAGAAGAAAGTACGTATAAAGACGAAGCGATTTATATAAAAAAAGATAAAGAATGAAAGAGTATAAAAGATGGATAAGAGTGTTTAAAAATGAAAGAGAAAAGCGACAGAGAAAGGAACGAAGAAATGAAAGAAAATGCATAAAAGAAAGAAAGAAAAAAGGATGTAGACAAATAAAAAAAAACCGAAAGTGTGGGTAAAAGATGTAAGAGAGAAAAGTGAAAATTACCGAAGCACATTGAAAGGAAGAAAGATGAACCCAGCAAAGAAGAAAAGGAAAAAGAAGAAAAGGAAAAAGAAGAAAAGGAAAGGAGAATAAAAGAAATAAAATGCATGAAAAAGCAAGAAAAAAAAGAAACGAAAGAAAGAATGGATAAAAGAAAAACAACGAGGGAGAGAGAGAGAGAGAGCGAGAGAGAGAGAGAGAGTGGAAGGACAGAGAGAAAGAGATGAGAGAGAACAGGAAAAGGAGAGTAATGAAAGAAAAGAGAGAGAGAATAAACAAAGAAAGAAAAGACGAGACAAAAAGAAAAAAAGAAGAGAGTGAAAAAGAAAGAGAGAGAACAGAAAAAATCAAAACAAGAGAGAAAGATCAAAAACACAGATACGTAACAGAGAGAAGAATAAAGGTGATACGGAGAGAGGGAGGGAAGAATAGAGGCGATACGGAGAGAGGGAGAGAAGAATAGAAGCGATACGAAGAGGGGGAGAATGATTTTAAATTTACGGAGAGAGGGAGAGAAGAATAGAAGCGATACGGAGAGAGGGGGAGAAGAATAGAGGCGATACGGAGAGAGGGAGAGAAGAATAGATGCGATACCGAGAGAGGGAGAGAAGAATAGAGTCGATACCGAGAGAGGGATAGAAGAATAGAGGCGATACCGAGAGAGGGAGAGAAGAATAGAGGCAATACGGAGAGAGGGAGAGAAGAATAGAAGCGATACGGAGAGAGGGGGAGAAGAATAAAGGCGATACTGAGAGAGGAACAGAAGAATAGAAGCGAGTTAGAGAGAGAGAGAAAGAGGTGAGAAAGATAAAGAAAGAGGCGTGACAGAGAGAGAAGACAAGCGGCAAAAGAAAACGAGAGAAAGAGAGAGAGGAAGAGAAACAAAAAAACGTGAGAGGTAAATGACAATTGAAAGGAGAGAGACGAGAGAGAGAGAGAGAAGGTAGGGCAGAGAAAGTAGGAAAGCTTGAAAGAGAGGGGTCGAGTAGAGTGTAAAATAGCGAGAGGAAGAAAAAGTCAAGTGAGGACGAACAGAGAGGGGAAATGGTTAAGAGAGTGATTAGAGAGGGGCAAAAAGGAGAGAGAAATGAAAGGAAAAAGAAACGAGGTGATCATGAGAGACAATAGAGGGGTAACAGAAAAGTCTCAAGATGATATAGGAAGTGAAAAAAAGAGAACTGGGAGGGAATGAAAAAAAGAAACAAAAGACGATAAATAAGACGAACTCACAATCCTAGCTGGAAGAGAGAGATAGAAAGATGATAGAACGAACACGTGTGTGTGTATGTGTAATGCATTTGGTAGAAACCATTTGCGAGAAGCTAGCAACGCCAATCATTTCTCTATGACGGCATCAATGATATAAACTCGGCCAACAAAGAGTGTGTCACTGTTTGCAAAGAGGAAAGACTTTGTCTACTCCCAATTCGTTTTACAAGCATCAGTAGAAATCTAAATGTACACTTAGATGATGGACATCAAATGTAAATTGAAAACACACACACACACGCGCGCACACGCATCTGTCTATCTATCTCGCTAGAACAATTACGACTAAGTAGTGTGTTCGATCCTCACTATGTGCCTCATACTTTTGGCCGTGTGCCACATCTAAGCTACGCTTGAAAAATCACTATCTATCTATCTATCTATCTATCTATCTATCTAGGTCTATTCCTTATCTATCTGTCTGTCTATCTATCTATCTATCTCAGTCTTTTCATATCTATCTCAGTATTTTCATATCTATCTATCTATCTATCTATCTTTATCAGTATTTTCATATCTATCTATCTATCTATATAATTATCCTATTTCATATCTATCTATCCATTTATCCCTATGTTCATATCTATCTATCTATGTGTTTATCCCTATGTTCATATCTATCTATCTATCTATCTATGTGTTTATCCCTATGTTCATATCTATCTATCTATCTATGTGTTTATCCCTATGTTCATCTATCTATCTATCTATCTATCTATGTGTTTATCCCTATCTATCTATCTATCTATCTATTTATCCCTATCTATCTATGTGTTTATCCCTATCTATCTATGTGTTTATCCCTATCTATCTATGTGTTTATCCCTATCTATCTATGTGTTTATCCCTATCTATCTATCTATCTATCTATGTGTTTATCCCTATCTATCTATCTATCTATCTATCTATCTATGTGTTTATCCCTATATCTATCTATCTATCTATGTGTTTATCCCTATCTATCTATCTATCTGTTTATCCCCATTATCCCATCTATCTATCTATCTATCTATCTATCTATGTGTATTTATCCCTATCTATCTATCTATCTATGTGTTTTTATCCTATCTATCTATCTATCTATTTATTATCCCCTATCTCTATCTATGTATTTTTATCCTATCTATCTATGTGTTTATCCCTATCTATCTATCTATGTGTTTATCCCTATCTATCTATCTATGTGTTTATCCCTATCTATCTATCTATCTATCTATCTATCTATCTATCTATGTGTTTATCCCTATCTATCTATCTATGTGTTTATCCCTATGTTCATATCTATCTATCTATGTTTATCCCTATGTTCATATCTATCTATCTGTGTTTATCCCTATGTTCATATCTATCTATCTATCTATCTATCTATAGAATAAACCGCCGAAAAGGTAAAGAAAAAGAACTAAAACAAACATCAGCCATCCAGAGATTGAAAAGAAAGAGAAGTAAAGAAGGGTCATGCTTAATCAAAAACGAACAGTGAACAGTCGCGCTATAAAGAAACCCGACATTGGAGACCAAATCAAGACAGAGCTCTATTAATAAAGAACAGAAATACGTTTATAACGTTTTTCCAAGTATATCTTTGTAAGTAAAGAGCACCCAGGGGGGGATCGAACTCAATCAGTTACTCAGTTATATGCCATGCGTGATACATGCTTAGGCGATCATGTATTTTTCCATACATGACTGACGAGGCAGATTTTTTCCCGCAGTGGGTTGCCATTACTTTCTGCGGTAGACCAGTAGCCAATCCAGTCTGTCCTGCTACTTACCTATAGATGGGGGAGAGAAGATGAAGATTCATACCTTTTCCAAGGGTTTAGCATGTAAGTGAATGTAATGGATTCGACTGGAATTCGAACTCGATTCTCTGATTTCTCAACCCGAGCCGTTATTCAATACTCTACCGTGCTTTAAAAGACATTAAAAAAAAAAAAATCTACACTGAATTCAGTCAGTTACGTGCCATGCGTGATACACGCTTAAGCGATCATGTGTTTTTCGATACATGACTGACGAGGCAGATTTTTACCCGCAGCTGGTTACTATTTCTTTCTGCGGTAAACCAGTTGCCATCCAAGGCTATAGAACTCAGTCTGTCCTGCTATTTGCCCATAGCTTTGGGAGTGGGGAGAAGGAAAAGATTCATACCTTTCCCAAGGGTATTAGCATGTAAGTGAATGTAATGGATTTGACTGGAATTTGAACTCGGCTCTCCGATTCCTCACTCCGAATCAGGAGAAGGACAACTCTGAATTTAAAACCTGTGGAGGGTCGTTTGGGGACCTTGTGGCACGTAGTGCACCAGGTCTCTGTAATCGGCTCTTCAAATCCCTTCAACTATGGGTAAATAGCAGGACAGACTGGGTTCTATAGCCTTGGATGGCAACTGGTCTAGGAGAAGGACAACTCTGAATTTACAACCCGCGGAGGGTCGTTTGGAGACTCTGTGGCACGTAGTGCACCAGGTCTCTGTATTCGGCCCTTCAAAAAGTGTGGATGGTCATGCATGAAACTTTCACCACTATAATCAAATCTCATGTGCTGGTGTCTGGCCGTCAGTTCCTAGGAACTGAGCTGCTTGACCCTCATACGTCGAACACGACGGGAGAGTCTACCATAGACGGTGAGCATAAGCAAGAGGTCTTCAGGAAGAGAGAAACAAAAAGGAATGCTCATACTCAGTATCAGAAAATTATTTGAAATATCTTGGACATATGAGGAGAGGGGGCTTGAAGAATTTGACACTCACGGGGCATACTGAAAGAGAAATATCACGAGAACAACTACCTGACGTGCTTGTGTAAACAAGGCTAGGAGGGATGGGAAAAGAGACAACCGTTGTTAAGAGTTACAAAAAATAAGAAGTTGTGGAGAGCCACAATCGTCAGTCTCCTGAAGGGGCACGACACATAGAAGGAGGTGTATTTATAATGAGTTATGAGGTCCTTCGATGTTTGTGCGTGTAGACTGGCTTTGATTACGCTGGAGAGAATAGCAATAATTCTCTGTGTCTGCCTCGACCCGCCAGCTCTTTGCCCCCACCGGACCCACTTCCACACCCTGGTCACATGGGATCTGGTAGGTTAATTGGAAGAGAAGCAATGGAGAAAGAGAGAGAGAGAGGGAGAGAGAGAGAGAGAGGAAGGGCGGCCTCGTGCAGAATACCTCATTACACTTCGAGGTCTTGGTCTTTACTCTTTCCGTTTCTTGAGCTTCAAATAGATGCTCAGTCGCCCGTGATGCCATTCATTTAACTAAAATAAAATGGAAATTAAACGGGTCGGGGTGTAGAGGAGTTGAAGGAGGTGGCGACAGAGATAGAAATCAGAGTGTGGCGTGGGGGTGTAGAGAAAATGCTGGAGAATAAAAAAGAATATATATATATAAAAAAATCTGACAATGCAAATGATCAAAAACAAACTTATAAATACAAAGAATTCCTTTTATCACTGTTTTTTGCTTCTTGCGTGTTTAAAATGCTGAGGATGACGAACAAGCTAATAGCTTTGGTGACAGTGTTGGACTGCTATGTAATATCTAATCTCCTATATAGCAGCGAATGCTGGACAATTTGCCAACAGATAGAGACTAGAGGTTCTACCTTCGAATAATGAAAATACCATGGACAGAACATGTAGGCAATGAGCAGGCTTAAAGGCAAATAGAAATTGTAGGAAAACTGATACGAACAACTAATCTAGTAGCGGGCTTCAAAGCTCACTGGTTACAGCACTGGTCTTGTAAACTAGAGGTCGTGAGCTCGGTCCTCAATCGTTGTCTCGTATTCCGTTTGGATGTGCGTTGTGGTGGAATTGGGTATCGGCTCAGAATGAAATGATCAGAGCCGGGTTCGAATCTCGGGCTCGTTATATCCACTTACATGAATCCATCACTTCTACATCCCCGACAGCTGTGGGTTGGATACCAGGACAGTTTGGGTTCTATAACTTTCCTTGGCAACTAGTCAACCGCAGAAAGAAACGGCAATCTACTGCGGGGATAATCTTCTGCCGAGTCAGTCATGAATCGAAACAGACATAGCCGCCCAAGCGTGTATCACGTGATGGCACTTAACTGAAAGAGTCAACAGTTATTTAGGTGAGGAAGTTGTGGAGAGACATGGCCGCCCAAGCGTGTATCACGTGATGGCACTTAACTGAAAGAGTCAACAGTTATTTAGGTGAGGAAGTTGTGGAGAGACATGGCCGCTCAAGCGTGTATAACGTGATGCCACTTAACTGAAAGAGTCAACAGTTATTTAGGTGAGGAAGTTGTGGAGACATGGCCGCCCAAGCGTGTATCACGTGATGGCATCTTAACTGAAAAAGTCAACAGTTATTTAGGTGAGGAAGTTGTGGAGAGACATGGCCGCTCAAGCGTGTATCACGTGATGCCACTTAACTGAAAGAGTCAACAGTTATTTAGGTGAGGAAGTTGTGGAGAGACATGGCCGCCCAAGCGTGTATCACGTGATGGCACTTAACTGAAAGAGTCAACAGTTATTTAGGTGAGGAGGTTGTGCAGAGACATGGCCGCCCAAGCACGTATGAAGCACCAGCAATAGAATGTGATGGGAATGAAGATCGGTCGACTCATTGTACGTGGACTTACAGGTCCTAGCTGCGACTATCTGGACTGAAGGAGCCAAGGAATAGGTGTGGAAATTTAAATATCTGGGAAATGTTCGGACAGAGGGCGGTAAGTGCGACGCTGAGATCCGAGGAAGTGTTGGGATGGCCAAAGATGCATTCATAAAACTAGGCAGAGTATTACGAGACAGGAGGATTTCGTTGGTAATTGTTATATACCGTACTTATGAACACTAATGGGTATGTCCCAATCCTCATAAATACATTGGACACTATTGTAAGTGGAGGTAATATGGTGTCTAAGTAGTCCACCACTAGCAGTGGTTTACCTACTTCACGCCGCTGGCGAGTATTGTATTTTGTTTATGTTATAAAGATTACCATTTCATTACCAACCACCGTTTTGTTTATTCCTCATTCAATAACCTTTTCTTTGTTACAACAGTAACAAAGAAAAGAGTACTGAACTGCTACGTGATATCTGTCCTCCTTTACGGCAGCGAATGTTGGACGGTCTCATCAAAGATGAAGACGAGTCTCGAGGCAACGGAGGTATGGATCTACAGAAGGATACTAATGGACCGAACATGTGAGTAACGATGAGGTTTTGGGGAAGATGCAAACAAGGAGGAAGCTTATACCTAACATCAGGAAGAGGTAGCTGAAATTTCTGGGACACGTAATGAGAAAGGAGGGCTTGGAGATTCTGATACTCGCAAGACGGATAAACGGAAAGAAAGACAAGGAAAGCAACACCTGACATACCTAGCGGAATTAAGTGGATGACGGAACAGAGGTTGGGAGAAGTAGCAAAAGGACAAAACATATTGCGAGCTACAAGAGATAGGAGGAAGTGGAGAGCCATGATCGTCTATATCGTGAAGAAACACGGTACATAAAAGAAGATAGCGATATAACAAGAGGCTAGAAACGATTCGGATGTGGGGAAGGGGTTGTAGTGTTGAAAACAATTCCTCACCCCCAAAGCCGCACAAACGCTTTTGAACATCTTGCGTCTTCCAAAAGCTAAACAAAGCATTTAGAAACAGGGAAATTTCGCTAGAAACACACATAGTTTAAAAAAAAAAAAAAAAAAGCAAGAAGAAAGGACTAACTCAGTTATAATGACAGAATGCATTGCCTTTACAAAAAGAGAGAGCACTAGATTTGACCCTCGAATTGGATACGTTAAAATCAAGCAAATGCAGAAAGTGGGTATTTTTTATATATATATATATAACAGACAGCGGAAGATGTTATATCGAAATCAGAAGGGCGACTAGAACAGAGAAAGATTCTTTCCAAAGGCTAAGCAAAGTATTAAGAGATTGGAAAATTTCGCCAGAAACAAGGAGTTCCGAACAGCTATTTAATGTCTGATCTCCTACTACAGTTAAAGCTGGACAGCCTCTTCACTGCTGAAGAAGAAACCTGAATCGACAGAGAAATGGTTTGTGGTAATTATCATCACCATCATACATACAAATCATGCGACAAGCATTCATTGGTTAATCTCCTCAAAACTAGCTCGCTGATTGGTCAATTCCGACCAATCAGATATCCTGCACGCGAGGAATTAAATTTCCCGCTCACTAAGGTTTGAGCCAGTCACGTGATATACCACCTTATATAAACAAAACACGTGTAATAAGCTCTCGCTCTCTCTCTTTCTCTCTCTGTTTTTCCTTCATTCATCTTATTCCTTGCTGCCAAGATGTAATCTTCAAGATTTCCTGTCTTGACCGTGCGGTCGGACGTTAAAGAACATTATCAATTCACGCAAGTACGAACTCTTAACTCTTCTGAACTCTTACTAACTTTACCAATTCACTTTTCCTAACATGCAACAGGAACTTTATTCTTCTAAAACTTCAGTTTAATAATTACTTCATCTTTATGAGCTCCGGTACAAATATTTCCAAATCTAAGAGTCATAACTCATTCAGACCTTCAGCTTATATACATGTACATCAACACTAATAAATTCAATTGTTATGTTTTGAACCATTACGTTCTGTCTTGTATTTTATACTATGTCCTATTTTACGTCAAAGATAAATTGCATTGTGACCGCTGCATGTTTGGTAACCTCCAGCGTCTTTGATTGTCCTTTTCCACGTCATTTCCCAGTCAAAGATAAATAATTGTGGTGATGCGCGCTACAATAATGGTGACCCCGTTAGAAATAAATATTTGTGGAGCATATCACTGCAGGTTCTACCAACAGACGAATTATCTAAATAACGAATAATTTTTAAAAAATAATAGGAATAAAGATATTCATAATGATAAACAACTCCTGGAACATATAATCAGCAAAGTAGGAGTAGTAAATTTAACACTTATAGACAAGAGAAGAAGGGTCAGTAATTTAGTAAATTAGATTTTTGATTGATTGGTCGGTTTGTTTTCTACGGCTTATCAACAACTTACGGGCCACCTAAAGTCAGAAAATACTTTTAGATTCTGTCTGTATCTCTCAGATGAGGTATTATGATTATTTACATTATCCGGACTGTTATCCTCATCTTCATTGCCATATTCACAACGTTTCGGCCGTTGTACGCTCCGGCCTTGTTTAGGTGTTTGGAATTTCGAACCGAACCTTTTATTTCGTCCAACGGGGCAGACTGTTCTAGTTCCACGTGTCGTGCCTCTTCCGGATGTCTCAGTTATTTCCTTTTAACTCAACTCCGTATGTTCTTTTGGTTCACCACTGCTGTAGACTGGTATTGAACTCGCAACTCTTTGGATCTAACCAACGTCTTTATCCACTGAAGCCTAGAAAGTTGAGTTAAAGGGAAATAAGTGAGACATCCAGAAGAGGCATGGCACGTGGAACTAGAACAATCTACCCCGTTGGACGAAATAAAGGGTTCGGTTCGAAATTCCAAACACCTGAAGGGGGCCCGAGCTAGCAACGGCTGAAACATTGTGAATATGGCAATGAAGATGAGGATAGCAGTCCGAATAATGTAAATACTTTTCGATTGTAAGATTTTTATTTTGTTGACATAAAAATTTAGTGATACAAGTCTTACTAATTAACCCATAGCTGGGGGAAGAGGTGGATTTATACCTTTCAGAAGGGTATTTGCGTAAATATACAAATCAACCATTCGCCCTTGCATGGAGTATTGCTGCCATATATGGTCTGGGGCACCTTCTGCTTACCTCGGAGTTCTTGACAAGATACAGAGACGGATATGTAATCTAATTGGCCCTGATCTGGCGTCTCGTCTGCAGTCACTCTCTCACAGACGCGCCATCGCCTCTCTCTGTCTTTTCTACAAATGCTTCCATGGTAATTGCTCTGATGAGCTGCTTTCACTGTTTCCCAGACTCCATTAATTCAATCGCCCTACGAGGCTGGCATCCCGCTTTCACCCTTACACTTTAGAAACTTTTAAATGTAGCCGTCTCTTCTACTCCAATAGCTTCATACATCGCACCTCTCGCCTGTGGAACACCCTTCCCCATTAATGTTTCCCTGAGAGCTATAATCTCCAAGTATTGAAATGTAATGCCAATCGACATCTCCAGTTGCCTTGATCTATCCACTATCCTTCTCCTCATCCTTTCTTCTATCACTCCTATCTGCTCTCGCTCCAAATCTTCTGCAACCCCCTGCATCCTAGTGGCTTCCCGTCTTGCTCGGGGCATAATGCTTAAAAAGAAAAGTGAATATAATGAACCCAAACCGGCTGCCCGATTAACAATTCCGAATTATTATCGATCACATCACCTGCCTCCATTCTACAGCACCTGGTATTCCCAATCGGTAACCCTTCTAGGTACTGACCAGGCTCGGCTCTGCTTAACTTCAGTGATAGTACGGGACTCGGTGTTTCAACGTGATGTCGCCGTATGCTTCAGACAGGTACTCTCGTAAACGTGTAGCCCGTCACTCTCTCTCTCTCTCTCTCTCTCTCTATATATATATATATATATATATATATATATATATATATATATGTGTGTGTGTGTGTGTGTGTGTGTGTGTGTGTGTGTGTGTGTGAATGTTGTCGAATCGGAAAAGGACTGATATTATTAGCATGCGTCGATACTCGAAGGAAATTGCTAAACTTCGGTGATTGTGCGGGAAGCAATGTTTCAACGTGATATATGCCGTAAGCCTAAACGAGTTTTTTTGAATCGATGTCAGAACAGGAAGAAAAGGTTATGGTAAAATATCAAAGGTTACTAAGAACAAGAAGACAGGACACTGTGGAGAGCCATGATCGCCTAACAAACAAAAACAAGATAAGGGACTTGAGGGCAAGGATTAACAATCTAGTCCGGCGAAAAACAATCTACTGCCGTAGTAAATTCAATCTTTAATGATTTCTCCCAGTTACTCGCCTTGTGCCCTACTAGATGAGTAACTAAGTGTGTCTCGCCATAGAGTAAAGTTTACTAGTCTACTGAATCATCACTACTGGTTACTTGATCCATACAAAGCTAAATATGAGACAGATTTGCTATGGAGAATTTTTTTAATACATAAGACTCATGCTATTACTATTGGAGTGAGTTCAATCCTCAAAGGTGCTCAATACTTGTGAACTTGTGCCAAACTATTAAAATGTGAGACCGGATTATTGAATACTTGTTTTTGCAATTCTGCATCGGTTGGCTAACATTTCTAGTATAGTGGCTCATAAAACTGATCTTAGTAAATAAAGTTCCTTGTTGTAGAGCAGCAGTTAGCAAACGCGTGTTACTGATTATTATGACTTGTGATCTTGAACCTTGCAAGGTACTCAGTACAGATGACCTTGTGCCGGAATAAAGTAATCTTAAATGCCAAGGTACTTCTTTGTAAATCACTAAATATACACGTCTTCATTTCCTGCGACTTCCTCTTTGATTCCTATCATAAACCTCAATCATTACTATAACGATTCTAACAGCAATGCGTTAGATTTATGACAATAGAGCCTTTGTATTGAGAAAAACCATAGTATAAAAAAAAAATTCTCAAAATCTGAAGATACAGTGTCACCCGGATATAAGAGAAACCCGGATATAAGAGAGATTTTCTCTGGTCCCAAATTAGAGCCTGTGTTAATGTATATAAAATAGACCAAACCCGGATATAAGAGACTTCTTCTCCGGTCCCGACAACTCTCTTATATCCGGGTTACACTATATAACCAAACAATTTTTTTTTTAAATTCTGTCATGGTCCGGTTGTGAACTTTTCAGAAACCCGTCGAACAAATATCAATACTGTATGCAAAATAGATTTCCCGTATTTTGCATAAAGTCAAACGACTACACTAAGTTGGCACAGAAAGGAAGATACTTTGACATCATAGACTGGAAGACTACACCAGCATCGGTGCAAGGGTCATGCGTCCCCACCCAAGAATTTATGATGCCCCAATTTCAATTTTCATAAATCAGTATTCATATGAAATACAAATTTTATTGTAATCTAATTATGTACAATACCGGATCATATGCAATATAGGTGAACAATTAAACCAGAAAAATAGAAAATAAATATAATGTCTCTAAATACAAATTCGTGACATGTCTTAACAGATGATTCCTTTTTAAATAAATCAGCAATGTTTTGCGGCCATCTTTAATATCAACTTGAGATTTTTCTTGTCATAAATTGAAGAACTTTAACGCATTCAACATTATGGATAAAAAAAATAGGGAATTTTATATCGTGTTATTTTTTTTTCGAGACAGCATGGGCAAAACAAATTCACAGATTTGAACAAAAAAATAACCCCAAATGACGTCAAAATCCTTGAAAATCTTAATCTTCTAATAGTCGTGCTTAGTTTAATTTGTAACGTATATAAATGTAGGTAGAAAAAAAAAAAAATTTTGATAACATAGCAAGGGTCACAAAGCACTGTCCAGGGCTCCCAATCAGACTTGCTTCTCCCTCGGTCAGAAGATAAGGTGTTATGCTCACCAGCCATGGACTATACAACAAATACACTCATACGAAAGAAAACTGTACAATGAATCGGCCGAAAAGCTCTAATAATAGGAATAGTATGAAAAAGATAGAGTTCAATCGCCTATAAGACACTTGGGTTGTTTTAATTTATTTTCTATTTTATTTTCTTTAATTTTAGATATAAAACCTGTTTGCGTCCCGGACATTTTTTTCGCCATTTTTGTTTCGATTATCCTTTTTCTCATCTCTTATCATTCTCACTTAGTTCTTACCTCCATCTTTTATTTTGTTTCTCTACTACAAAGTCCTCTCCTTCCACTGAATTCGCTCTCACTCCATTTTTCCTATTCTTGTACGCTTCGCGTTTCTTTTCTGCAAACCGGACATTTGCTTTCCATTCAGCGTCAATAAATGAAGAAAAGTTCGTTGCAAAACAGTCCAATCACTGATTCTCCTAGGCATTTAATTCCACATCCATTATTTCCCAGCAAATTTAAAGAGTTCCATCTCCCCTTTTATCTTTCACATCCCCTTGCATCTGTCACGTCAGGCATACAGCAAGCCAGCCCTTGTCACTCTCCCTTGGCCATTAAGCCTGACCGCTACAATTTTACCGTTGTTAGCCATTTTGTTCATTATCGGCAATTTAAAGACGGGCTCAAGCTAAAATCTTTCTCTTCATATCAGGGTTGGTATATATATATATATAAACATCATCACGATTGGTTTGTCAGGAAGGTGATTTCCTGATGTTATCGGTGCGGCACCTTTGTAAAGTGGCTGAAAATCATATCACGGTTTGACCCAAGCCTTAAGTAGTGAAATTGGGTAGACGGAACATTTAGGGGACCGTCGATAGCTGTGCTAGCACGAAGTTACAAGTCATCGTGAACGAGGATTTGAGGTGCTGGCCTTGTTCAAATTGTTGATCACGTTAGATAACACGATCTCTCCCAGAAACTGTAACTAAGGTCTGCTCACTATAGTTGCAGTATAAACCACAGGTGGGCTCTGTAGGTGTTGAACAAACACAAATGTGCCTGAGCGAGCGTCTGAATTAGGGATTGGCTAGCCGGCCTAGCAGACGGGTATCCTCAAATACGAGTGGCCAGCTTTTATATATATATATATATATATATATATATATATATATATATATATATATATTTAAAGATATGTTTTGTGGTAGAAAACTTTATGACTGCCATAAAAAGACAAAAAAATATTTTTATTACCACTTATGATGATAATAGATAAAAAGTAAAACTGCAAAACGGACCAGCTAACTGGTTTCAAACCTCGCTCAACAGAGCTAAATCGAGGGTAATAAATTAAACAGAATTATCACTAAAAATGGACAATAATGTATTGGAGAAAAAAAAAAATTGCTTATATAGAAATTCGTTGGAGGCCCAGTACGAAGTCCTTCTGTTTACACAGAGATGACTTCAAAGATAAAATATAAATGGCCTCCAACACTTTTAAGTGGGACTTACTAAGATTGGTAAATGAGTTCATACTGAAACTCGTAGCACTATATATATATATATATATATGTGTGTGTGTGTGTGTGTGTGTGTGCCTGTGTATATATTGATGAACTTTTGTTCAAAAAAAAGTCAAGAAAAAGGCATTAATTTGTTTTATTTCCTGAAAAAGGTCACCACCAAACCAAAAATTCGATTTCTACTATATACTCTATAAGGATAAAAAAAAAAATAGTAAAATAAAATCAAAATATTTCAGAAGCTTTATTTTCCAATTTGCTAAAGATCTAATTGAATACTAGTGTATTTTAACGCATTTAACAGTTTATAGCATGACCTACAAACTTACAACTAAACTAAAGCAAGTTCTAGAAGATTTCATAAAGTTCTAGAATGCCCCAGAAAGTCATAGTACAGCTATGCTTATAAACGATTTTAGAAATTTCGTGTTTGGTGGGTGGGACATTTTTAAAAAAAAAATAAACTGGATTAAACGCTTCTAATTATTTTTCAAAAATTTCAACGAATTATGATACAAGAAGTCAAATATTTTACAAAAAAGTAATAACCTAAAATATATATATATATATATATATATATATATATATATATATATATATATATATATATATATATATATATATATATATATATATATATATAATATATAAATGGACAAAGTCCGACAATTATTTAAAGACATTTTTATGTTTATTGGTTCTTTTTATAGATAGAAATATTTAAGTAAATGCTCTGTTTATAATAAACAGTATTAACAACATTTACCGGTCTGAATGTTCGAGAAATTCTCATAAAATATATGCGTCCTCCGACAGGAATCGAACCTGTAACCTATACGAAACCGTCATATAGCCAGACGTGCTTTTACCGATTTCGCCACAGGGGAGCGTTTCGGTTAGCAAGGTCGATTTTACTGTATTTTAAACTACAATTTTCCATGATTTTCTCTTGTACATTTATATCTGCTCGATGCGTATCCAAATGTAAACAAATGACGTCGCACATTATGAAATGGACGAAGTCCGACAGTTATTTTAAGACATTTTTTATGTTTATACATTCCTGTCGGAGGACGCATATGTTCTATGACAATTTCTCAGACATTCAGGCCGGTAAATGTTAATACTGTTTATTATAAACAGAACATTTACTTAAATATTTGTATCTATGAAAAGAATGTATAAACATAAAAATGTCTTTATATATATATATATATATATATATATATATATTATATATACACCGTAATTCCCCATGTATAATACGCCTTCATCCATAATACGCACCCCTAGAATTGTGCTGAAAGTGTGGGAAAATGCTTCTTTGGTAATCAAGCCCTATATCAAGCGTTTCCTACTCTTATTTTAAAAAAATGGTTCAAGAATTCATGTAGGTGTTATAAAAATTTGACAGATAAACTTCAAAGCGACGCAG